AGCTGGTGAGCTTGAACTGCTGACCTAGCAGTTCAAATGGCTTTGCAGTCTGGCGCCTTAACCCACATACATCAGTCACTTAGAATCTTGTTTACTTGTTTTTGGAAAGATGTAATCACTGTCTCTTCATTAAAATACAACAGCCAGACAAGTAAGAGCAATGCAGATGCCAGAGAGACATCAGAGTAGCTCTTGTGACCTTGGTGTATAATTTCATCAAGTACCTGCTGTAGGTATCACTGAGATGTTGGTTCTTTGTTCTGGATGCCAGAAATCATTCACAGTGGCTTCCAGAGACTGAAACGGCCCAACGAGGGAATGTGACTTGGGTCTTGGGGAGTCTCACCACAGAGGTAATGAAGCAGTTTGCTTTTCTCTTCCTCATTCACCTGCAGGTTCTTCAGCCTACAGAGTTCATTTAGGTGTAGGATGAAACTGCTCCTCGGAAAGCCTGTGACGTCTTTCTTGTTCCCTTCTCTTTGCTTGAAAATCGATAAATGAGAAGCAGTGATTACAGATGTGAATGTTTTTGGTGTTTCTTTATTGGTGTATTAAATAATTATTACTTGGAGATAAATGCTTAATGTACACATTATTTTCATAAGTTTGTTATCACATTGAATGCTGTTTTATGTGCTTACCATCTTGTTATAATATTTTAAACTTAGTGTAATTTTTTTCTTCTTGTGATACAGAAGTGTTTTAAAGATGAAAAGGTTTTGTGTTATTTGTAGAAGGTATAAAAAGATTGGGAAGGTGAATGTCGTGGCAGTGTTCTAAAGCTCAACAGTTGGTTTATAACCATATGAGGAAGTGTGACTAATGGTACAAATCTACCCAATATACTCGTAGAGTTCAGTTCAACTGCCTGCCCTTTTAGAATCTAGAGTAGATATGTGCATCATCACTTACTCTCCGTGTAAGACTTAATGGGCCTAACAGACGGGTGATGATATGCTTCAAGAATGTGTTTATCCTCAAGTCCATGTTGAGGCTACAAAAGTCAATGTTTCAGTGTTGCTGCTTTAGCGCAGCTCTCCTCATTACTGTATTTCAGGTCAAGATTGACAAGGAACTCAGTGGTATCTACCGGCGATTGTTTGAGCCGCTCCGTGTGTCTCCAGATTTGTTTAGAAGATTAACTGGACAGTTTTGCATAATTCAAACTTTGAAAAAGGGTCAGTCTTATGCTGTAGAAGACAACACCTCCGTTGATGACCGTCTGAGTATCCTTCTGAAAGGAAAGTAAGTGCTCTATGAAAATTGACATTTGCAGTTTGCCTATAATCTCATCATAGCTTCTGGGTAAGAAATAAATGGATGGAATACTGTCAACCAATGAAGGAGGTGGTTATAGACTTCGTTGTTGATAGAATGTTCATTTTACTTTTGGGAGTTATGCTGTGGAGCAACTGGTTAGACTTTACTTCTCTGAATCTCATTGACATCAGGATTTTCCATTGTGACTAGACTATTTTAACCTATTTTTTGTTACCTTCTTAAAGTTCATGGAAAGGTGATACAACAGAATACGGAAAGCATTGAGCACTATCATTTATATCACATGCAAGCAAAATTTTGCTGAAGGTAATTTAAAAACTATTGTAGCAGTACATCAACAGGGTGCTGCCAGATATTCAAGCTGGATTCAGAAAAGGAATGTGGTGACAGCATTCAGAACCTCAACAGTTGCTTTGTAACCATATGAAGAAGTGTGAATAATAGTGCACATCTACCCGATAGGCTCTTAGAGTTCAGTTCAGCTGCCCAAATGCCCTTTTAGAATCTAGTGTGTAAATTTCTGTCATCATGAGGGATATCATTGTTGACGTCAGATGGATCTTGGCTGAAAGCAGAGAGATGTTTACCTGTGCTTTATTGTCTGTGCAGAGACTTTCGACTTTGTGGCTCACACAAGCTATGGATAACATTGCAAAGAAAGAGTATTCCAGAACACGTGATTGTGCTCATGAGGAACCCATGCATAGACCAAGAGACAGTCCTTAGAACAGAACAAAGGGATACTGAACAGTTTAAATTCATGAAAGGTGTATGGCAAGGTTGTATCATTTAACCATACTTATTCATTCTGTATGTTGAGAAAATTATCCAAGTAGCTGGATTATATAAAGAATAACTGGGCATCAGGATTAGAGGAAGACTCATTAACAGCCTGTGATATGCAGATAACACAACCTTGCTTGCTGAAAGTGACGAGAACTTGAAATGCTTACTGATACAAACTATATTGAAAGCTGTAGTATTTGATTTTCACCTCAATGTAAAGAAAGCAAAAATCCTCAAAACTGGACCAATAAATAACGTGATAAGTGGAGAAAGGATTGAAATGGTTAAAGATTTTCATTTTGCTTTGATTCATAATCGTTGCCTTTGAAAGCAGCAGTCAAGAAATAAAATGATGAATTTCGTTAGACAAATCTGCTTCTAAAGATCTTTTAAAGTGTTAAAAAGTAAAAATGTCACTTTCTGTACTAAGATGCGCCTGACCTAAGCCATGATATTTTCAGTCGCCTGATGTGATATGAAAGTTGCACATTGAACAAGAAAAATTGGAGAAGAGTGGATGCATTTCAATTATGGTGCTGGCAAAGAATTTTGAAAGTATCATGGACTGCCAGAAGAACAAACAAATCTTTCTTGGAAGAAGTACAGCCAGAATACTCCTTAAAAGTGAGCAAGTCTCTTGTACTTTGGATGTATTGTCAGGAGGGACCAGTCCCTGGAGAAGGACATCATGCTTGAAAAAATGGAGGGTCAGCAAAAAAGAGGAAGACCTTCAACAAGATGGGTTGACACAGTGGCAATAACAATGGGCTCAAACGTGGTAACAATTGTGAGGTTGGTGCAGGAGCAAGCAGAGTTTTGTTCTGTTGAGAACAGGGTCAGCATGAGTGTGAACCAATTGGATGACACCTAACAACAACAACAAAGTTAATGAGACAAAATTAAAGTCGACTTAAAGTAAACATTAAGGAGCTCTGGTAGCATAGTGGTTACGAGTTGGGCTGCTAACCTCAAGGTCAGCAGTTCGAAACTACCAGCTGATCCGCAGGAGAAAGATGAGACATTCTGCTCGCATAAAGATTTACAGCCTTGGAAACCCTGTGCAGGGTCACATGAGTCAGAACTGACTCCACAGTACTTAACAACAACAACAACAACAACAAAGTCAACAGTAAGCACTTCACAACAACAGCAAAGTAGACATTAAAATTCAAGAAGTTTCAGAACATTTCTCAGGTGATCTTTTTGTGTGTGTGTGTGTGGGTGGGAAGGGTTGTTGTTAAGTGTCAAGTCAGTTCCAACTCATGATGACTCTGTGTAGGGTTTCTAAGAAGTGGCTGGTGAGTTTGAACTGCCGACCTTGCAGTTTAAAAACCAACCTTGCAGTCCAGTGCTTATGCTACAGTGCCACTTCGGGGTGGGGTAGGAATATCAATTTTCTGAGGAGAATTTCAGTGTATATTTGTTATTCTGCATAACTGTTTATTTATATCATTGCTTTCTCTCTGTCATTTATGCCAGTTTAAATAATAAATCACATCCCTGCAGCTATAAGAGAATGGATAACCATTGGAAGACACATGTTTGGTTCACTACTGGATGCTTTTATTTTCTTTTCCTTTTTTACATTGTTTTTTGAAAGAAATATATCTGCCTTGCAAAATTCTTTTAATCATGTCAGTAATATTTGAAATCTTTAAAACTTCAGCATGAAATCAGACCAATAAGATGGCAGGTATTAAGGATCATCATGTTATTTGGGAAATCCTTTGTGTTTATTTTTAACATTCATTTCTGTTGTCAGAATGAAGGTCTCCTATCGAGGACATTTTCTGCATAACATTTACCCCTGTGCCTTTATAGATTCTCCTGAATTTAGATCAACTGAGATGCACAAAGACGAAAAATTCCAGGTATGCTTTAGTATAATATTCAAGATTCAAATGAATTCATGTGTCATTCAAAATAGAAAGGATACTAATAAAAAGTAGTTATGGTTTATTGAAAAAATAACTGAGTAATGTGAAGTCTGTGGTTCCATTTAAAATTTTTTTAAACAAAATAGTGCATATGGGTGCATAAGGAAGACTTAGAAAAAGATAATGTAATTTGGCCATAGTAATGATACTATTATTTCTGTATTGTGAGTTTGATTGTAGGTAATCATTGTTCCTAAAACACTTAACAAAACCCCCAGAAAATTGGTTTTGCCCTAGACGACATATTTTGGTAATCTTTATAACAAAGCTAATCCCTTTACTTTTTTATGCTTGTATTTGGCGAATAGGTTTATGGGCTAAGAGTGACGTTTGAACATGGACTACTCAGTGTGCTCTTTATATGTCTTAAAAGAAAATTGCTTCATTACATAGCACTTTGTTCCAGTTTTTTCCATAGTGCTCAACCCTCCTATTGTATTCAGTTAATTATTGGTAGGAAAGTAGCCAAGAAAATGGATGAGAGTTTCCTTTGTGGATAAGGAAATATCCTAAGATCAGGCTTGCTTATGAGCAAGAAAAAGTTAAGTAGGAAATGGAATGGAGGGGATATTATCATTAGAGAGAGAAAAATGTTAATATTTCTCGTTGGCAAAAATCTTATTTAAGAGCCAAATTGGTATGGCACAAAAGTGGAGATAAAAGTGGAAATTCACAGAAATACAGTTTTGTTTACTACATTTACAATAGTTGCAGCCCTGCCTGCTTCCACTCTGCCTGAGTAATGTGTGATAACTGCACCACTTGTTAAAGGTACATCCCATAGAAATTCACTGACAAGCAAGCTTGCTTGCTAAGTGGATTGGGTTTAAGATTCAGAAGCAGAGAACTGATGCTGTATCCTGGCTCCTCCCTCCTCTGATTTACTCTCTTACCTGTGTATTGTGAGCGTGAGGTATACACAGAATTATGTTTCTATTGTCTTTGGTCACTACCACCTACAAACTGATTCAGAGAACCACTTCTTTTCTCTGACCTCCCCACAATTTCTTTCTTGAAAGTCCAACATTTATCTGTTGGATCCGTTTCTCTTGTGTATAGATGTTGCCGTGTGCTGTGAAGTGTGTTCTGACTCTTAATGATGCTGTATAGGGTTTCTGAGATGGTAAATCTTTACAGGAGCAGAAAGACTCATCTTTGTCCATGGAGCAACTGATGGACTTGAACTGCTTACCGACATTGTGGATAGTAACAGATGCTTTTATATAATACCTTAAGTCCCATAGAAAGATCACAGATACTAACATGTACTATATTTTCCCTCGAGTATTACTCTATTTTCACAATTATGTTAACCAAAAAAAAAAAGAATTCCTATCACTAGCTACAGTTATTTTTTCTTAGCTACTGGGGATTGAGATTTGGTGGTTAAGAAAGGTTCCTGATAATTTCTTCGAAGATTCTAACAACATGAATAAAAATCGAGATGCCGTAACTGGGGAAAGGGCATATCATCAGCCTTCCCAGAGATCAGTCAGCTTTTCTCGGGGGTGGCATTTCTTGATTGGTCAGTGGATAAAAGCTACTTTAATGATATTGCATCTGCATCCTGTACAGTTGGAGCAAACTCCATCAGAGGAAGCCCTGGGGAGAGATTATGTTTTGATTGCTTACAAAATGTTCCTGTTGGCAAATACTCAAGAACACAAATAGTAGTAGCACATCTGTGTAGGAGTAGATTGCCTTACTAAAGTGAATTCCCAAATAAAAACTGTCTCATGCTCCTGGGACTAACTTCTTATTACCTGCCTATGAGAGGGGGATATCTTAAGTCCTCAGTGTTCAGACTTCTCCACTCACAGGCTTTCGCCCTACTAACCTCATTTTGCTCTGTGAACATCATCTAGGTGTTCTGATAAGGACCTGTTTCCTTTGACATTTTATGGCTTTATCATCATTCTTTGTAAGGAAGCTAATAAATTATCCAATAAGGTAATAAAAGAAAGAGAAAAGGCAATCCAGCTCAAGGACTGTTCTTCAGATTACACCTCAGCTAACTGTTGAAACATTACAAGTGATCACAGGCATAGAGAAAAACAGCTGAGAAAAAGGATTCTGAACTTAAGAGTTTATCACCCCTATGTGTTTGCAAGTCCTTTTGGTATTCACAGATCAAAGTGGCTGCTTAACTGTTGTTGTTATGTGCGATGGAGTCGGTTCCAACTCCCCTGTAAATCTTTATGGGAGCTGAAAGTTTGATCTTTCTTCTGCGGAACTACTGGTAGTTTTGAACTGCTGACCTTGAGATTAGCAGGCTAACTAGTAACCACTATGTTACCAGAGCTCCTTTATTATATTATAAAAGGTAGAAATACTAAGTGTTTTGTGTTTGGTTTCTTTTTCTTTGTGTAGTTGTTTTATATTCAATGAGCTGTACCGTTAATCTTTTCTCCCCCTTTTGTTCTTTGCCACCCATTGTATGTCTTATGCTGTGAAGCCTGAAAATCAAAGCTTTAGGGGGGCACTAAATTTTAACTAGTATTTAAATAAAACATTTTGTTAATGTTAAATATTTTGGTTAAGTGTGAAGCTATTTGATTAGTCAGTTTTGACTGATAACGTTTTAGCGCTTATGGAAACTCAGTTATTGGTTAGGTAGACCACTTCATGTTCCTGGTATGTGAAATGTTGTACAATGCATTAAAAAATAATAATAAATTCTCCCCTGCAGACAGTCAACCCATCATACTGTCAGACTTCTGATTCTAGCACATTCAGCAATTCCCTCAGGCCTCTTGAGTAATGGAGTCTTTGCCTTCTCACTATGTGAGGGTGTAGAATGGGTTTGGAATTTAAGGTGAGGGACTGATTCAATGCCTTGAGGTTATTACAGTGAACCGGGTTACAAATTTATAGTCTAAGCCTAAAAGAATTACCTGAAAGAAATCCTTTGTATTTCCCACTACTAGGTCATTATTAAGTGCCATCGAGTTGCTTCCAACTAATAGCAACCCTATGTAGGGTTTCTGAGGAGCAGCTGGTGAATTTGAACCACCTACAACAGCACTTAACAACAACAACAACCTTATGGTTAGGAGTCCTGGTGTGGCACTGCAGGTTAATGCACCAGACTGCAAAGTCACTTGAACTGCAAGGTCAGCGGTTCAAGTTCACCAGTTGCTCCTCGGAAACCCTATGCAGGGTCGCTATGGGTCGACTCAACAGCACTTACAACAACAACCTTATGGTTAATAATCCAATGCTTATCATACAGCCTCACACCATGAGTCCCACTGCCTAATTTCCTTAGTAAAATTCTTCACAATAACTCAAACATGGCGCTGCTGAGTTAACCTTAATAGCTTAAGAAGCAAATTTCATTTACTCAGATTTTAACTGTTACTATATCATGTGGTACTGTAGGATAAGTACTAGATTGCTAACCACAAGGGTGGCGGTTCAAACCCACCAGCTGTCCCATATATTTTTACACAACTATTGTGACAGAAAATCATTGAATGACAGTAGAAGAAATGAAGTATCATTCAAATAAAATTACCTCAGTCAACATGCTCACTACCAGCTTCCAGGTAAACGCCTGCTCCATGGCCCTGGGCAGTATTTGTATGTCCGGTGTTGTTGTTAGGAGCTGTCCAGTCACTTCTGACTCATAGCAACCCTGTGTACAACAGAAGAAAACACCGATCCGCCCTGAGTCATCATCACAATCGTTCCTATCTTTAAACCCATTGTTAAAGCCACTACGTCAAACCATGTTGTTGAGAGTCTTCTTCCTTATAGCTCACGCTTTGCCAAGCTTTGTTTCATCCAAGTATTAAGGGCAACTCTATTTTAGGAGGCAGCTCTTTCCCAGTCGTAGTTTGGGTACCTTCCAATTTGAGGGGGGCTCATCTTCTGTCACTGCATCAGACAATGTTCTGTTGCTATTTATAAGTTTTTCAGTGGCCAGTTTTTTCAGAAGAGGATGACCAGTTCTTCCTGCCTTGCCTGACTTAGTATTGAAGCTCTGCTGAAACTTTTACATCATGGGTAACCCTGCTGGTATTTAAAATACTGGTGGCATAGCTTCTAGCGTCACAGCAACATACAAGCTACCACAGTATGACAAACAGATGAATGGTGTACTCTAGGCATAATTAATTATTTGAAAACTATATGACGCTGTAGGATAAACGCTGGACTACTAACTGCAAGGTAGGCAGTTAAAATCTGCTAAATCAGAACTGACAACACATACTTCTCGCTTATCAACTATTGTATTATCTAACATTTTGCATTTATGACAATAGTAAAAACTCTACTGATTATTTTGACATAAAGGATATACATCTAGGAGTAAGGAACACCCAGGTCCTTGTTGGGGTCCCTGACTGGCAGACCCTTTGTACACAGAGAAATAAAGCTCAGAAAGGAAGTTTGTATTGGGTATTTCATGATGTGGGACAAGAATAGAGCAAAGTGTCTGAAGTGGGGTCTGCCAGGTTCTGGGTGACCACAGGGGTATGAAGGTAGGACAGTGACAGCCTGTGTCCTGAAAGCGGGCCACCCTCAGAATCAGGGAGGAAGTGGGACCCCAGGGTCTGGCCCCATTTCCCTGCCCCAGGGGCATGCAGGACAGGCTGGGCTGTGATCTGATGGATCCTTGAGATTGGATTCTAAGGTGCCTGGGGCGCCCGTGGGTCTCCACATCAGCTGATCAGCACAAAAGGAAAAAACAACCCTGATCTTTGGCTTTTATTTGGTCTGTAGATGGTTTGATTTTTAAACATAATTTTTGAAAACAACATAAATGTTTATATAATTACAGGACCTTGTGCATATGGGACCTAATTTTAGATTAATTAATTTGACAAATCATCACCATGTTTTTGTTGTTGTTAAGTACCGTTGCGTCAGTTCCAACTCAAAACGACTCAGTATAAGGTTTCCAAGGAGTGGCTACTGGGTTTTAACTGCCACCTTGCAGTTCAAATCGACCTGGCAGTCCAGTGCTGCTTCTTCAACGTAACAATAAGATCCACTAAATGTGTCTACTCATCTCTTTTCCCAGATTGTTGTTGTGGTTAAGTGACATCAAGTCGATTCCAACCCATAGTGACCCTGTATAGGGTTTCCAAGTAGCAGCTGGTGAACTTGAACCACTAACCTTGCAGTTCAAACGACTTTGCAGTCTTGACGCATTAGCTCACCACGCCACACCAGATTACTGTATCATAATTCATATAAATAATGTTTTTTCTTTGCATGTTTGTTTTTTGACAGGTCACCATTATTGCAGATGATAACTGCAGATTTTTATGCTGGTCCAGAGAAAGATTAACTTACTTTCTGGAATCAGAACCTTTCCTGTATGAAATATTCAGATATCTTATAGGAAAAGACATTACAAACAAGCTGTACTCATTGAATGATCCTACAATAAATGACAAAGTAAGTGTTTTTCTGAGTGTTTACTGGTAAATATTGGTAGGTATAACTCAATAGATGAGATATTATCCTGAATTTCCATCAGTTGGTCATATTTTAAGTGCAGTGGGGATGCTTGTAATTTAGAACCTTCAGGGAATCAGTTCTGAAGAGTAAGGAAATATTTTGTACTTCTTGTACTTGACATTACTTAGTAAGGCATCTGTAAATGTCAGAACCTCCATTTGTGGTGAGGATATGCTATCTTTTTCAGAAAGAATCATTGAAGCAATCTAATGAAGATGGTAAATGTGTTGGAGGAGGTGGGGTTGGAGTTGGTGGAGGAAGGCAGGTCAGTGGAGAGATTGCAGACAGTGAAACTCTGACCTACTCCAGTGAACAGGAAGTAGCCATTGTCACCCTGGAACCTTCCAGTGTATACATCTTCTGGTGCAGCTCAGAGGTAGCTGGAGAGGTGTGGGGTGGACATCTGTGATTCTTCATCTAGAGATTGTAGAGCTGTATTGATCTTGAGAAATTTACAATCTGATAATAATTTCTCCATATTTGGTTACAAAAAAATTAAAACAATTGCAGAAGAGAAGTTGGAGAACATTGTTCCTATGACTAGTAGTATTTGCTTACTAAGGATCTCCAGGAACAATAAGTATGGATTTGTGCTTTCTTAAAGTCATCGTATCTGGGTTGGTTCTTCGAATTCAGTTGGTGCTCAATATTTTCAGAATAATAAACAGGCTATATTTTTTGTAATAAAGTAATAACAATCTTCTATAAGATAGCTTATGTAATAACTAATAGTAAAAATCATAGTTAATGTTGAATATTTACTGTGTACCAGGTAGTCTTTTATATGCACTAACTTGCAGGAAGGAATTGTAAATACTGTTTAATATCTGATTTATGCACTGCTGAGATTATGTCTTTTAAATCTCAGACGTCTTAAAACTTTGCTTTGTAGAAAGTCAAGCTCAGCCTTTGCACCCAGATCTCCATGCTGGAAATGAGGAACAGTATAGCCAGTTCTAGTGACAGTGATGATGGGCTACACCAGTTTCTTCGGGGGACCTCCAGTGTCTCCTCTCTTCGTAAGTTACCCCAAATCGATGAAGCTCTCTCTAGGGTTCTGATGAATGTTGTTGGCAATATACAAGTTAAAACTTTGATCAGAAAAATAACTTTGGAAGTCATCATTTGGCAATCTAAAGACAAATTTTGTCTAGGATTTTTTTTTTCCCCATTTTGTACATAATCTAAAATCCAACTCTAGAACTCTTCTATTTTAGAAATTGTTGACTTATTTATTATTTTTTTGTGTGTTGACTTACTTTTGTCATATGCTTTACATAAATACTGGATTACTGAAATAGTATAAAATAGCTTACATGGTTTGGTAAATATTTGGTTTAGTTGTTTTTCATGATTTTTGTTAGAGTGAACTAGATCCAGCAAGCATTGTGTAAACTGTGATAGGGAAAACAGTTGATGGTGCTTTATTGGTTGGAAATGGAATATTCCTGAAGATGATGGAAACCACATAACGGTCCTGTGAGTTACCACATTCACACACCCACCAGGATGCAAGTTTCCAAGGAAAACTCTTCTATAGTTTGTTGTTGTTGTTATTGTTAGATGCTGTCAAATAGGTTCCAACTCATAGCGACCCCATGGACACAAAACAAAATCCTGCCCAGTTCGGCACCATCCTCACAATTGTTGTTACACTTGAGCCCTTTGCTGCTGCTACTCGTTGGGTGTGTGTGTGTGTGTGTGTGTGTGTGGAGGGGATCCTTCTTCTTTTGCACTGACATTCCACTTGATCAAGCAGGACATCCTTCTTCAGTTAAGATTGTTTTAAAACATTTTAATAACACTGACAACACAGACATTGAGAATTATTAAATGAGAGAAACCAAATTATTTTAGGACAGTGCTTAAAACTACTTTAAGAATTATTGTAAGAACTTTGAACAAATTTATGTGAAATAGCAAAAAGGCAGACAAATTTTTCCACTGATATAAGAATCTCATAATTCTTACAGAAGAATTACTCACAGTCTCAATTATGTTTCAAACTATGCTAACTTAAAAAGTAAATAAGCACATTTAAAAAATCCTAAATATTTATAATAAGGAAGATCGTAGAAGAATTGATGCTTTTGAGTTAAGGAGTTGGAGGAGAATATTGAAAGTGCCATGGGCTGCCAAAAGAACCAACAGATTTGTGTTGGAACAAGTGCAGCCAGAGTATTCTTTGGAGGTCAGGATGGCCAAACTTCGTCTCTCATACTTGGGACATATTGTCAGGAGGGACCAGTTGCTGGAGAAGGACATCATGTTTGGTAAGGTGGAGGGTCAGAGAAAAAGAGGACGACCCCCAGTGAGATGGATTGGCAAAGTGGCAGCATCAGTGGGCTCAAGCATGGCAACAATTGTGAGGTTGGCCCAGGACTGGGCAGTGTTTCCTTCTGTTGTGCGTAGAGTTGCTATGAGTCGGTACCGACTCAATCCACCTAACAACAACAACAACAAATATTTCTGTAACTAACCTTGCAACTTTTGAAAGCTTTGGTTAAATTGAACTATATTCCTAGATTGCATAGTCAGGAGAGACTAGATTTACAAAGCCTCATTTTTTGGGTTACTTTGCAAAGAGAAGTCTAGGCATGGAAATGTACTGCACATTTAAAGGTAGGGTCTCAGGAATTGCACACATAAGAAACTAGAAATTTTGTTGTTGTTGTCAGGTGCCATTGAGTCGGCACCGACTCATAGCGACCCCATGCACAGCAGAACGAAACAGTTCCGATCCTGGGCCAACCTCACTACCACTGCCACACTTGAGTCCATCAATGATGCCACCTGGTCAATCCATCTCGTTAGACGTCTTCCTTTTTTTCTCTGACCCTCCACCTTACCCAGCATGACATCCTTCTCCAATGATTGTCTCCTCCGGACAATATGTCCAAAGTATGAGAGACGAAGCTTAGCCATCCTGGCCTCCAAGGCAACTGGAAATAGTTCTATTCTATTGCAAACTAAGTTTTTGAAGGTCTTAGCTGACATTGATCATATTCTATAATCTACTGTTATTGTTGCTAGGTGTGACACTAGTCACAGCCCAATCCTGTGCCATCCTCACAATTGTTGTTTGAGCCTATTATTATTGCCACTGTGTCATTCCATCTCCTTGAAGGTCTTCCTCTTTTTCACTGACCCTCCACATTACCTAGTGTGACGTCCTTTTTCAGAAACTGGTCCTTTTTGACTTGTCTACAGTATGAGAGATAGTCTCACCATCCATATGTCTAAGGAGCAATCTGGCCACACTTCTTTCAGAATAAATGTGTTTGGTCTTCTGTTTGTCAGTGGTCCTTTAAGTATTCTTCTCCAACACCATAATTCAAATGTATCAGTTTTCCTGTAGACTACCTTATTCATTGTTCAACTTTCACATGCATATGTTGCTGTTGTTGTTGTTAAGTTCTGTTGAGTCGTTTCAGACTCAGCTACCCGGTATAGGATTTCTGAGGAGTGACTGGCAACTTTGAACCACCAACCTTGTGGTTCAAACAACATTGAGGTCAAGTGCTTGTCCTATGGCTCCACACCAGCACTTCTTCACATAGTTTGTTATGATCTCATATGCATATGAGAAACTGAAAATACCATGGCTTGGGTCAGGCATACCTTAGTCCTCAAAGTGATGACTTTGCATTTTAACACTTAAAAGACGTCTTGTGTAACACATTTGCCCAAATCAATATGTCATTTGATTTCTTTATTGATGCTTCTGTGAGCATTGATTGTGGATCCAAGTAAAATGAAATATTTGACAACTTCAATCTTTTCTCAGTTTATCATGCGGTTACTTATTGGTCCAGTTGTAAAGATTTCACTTTTCTTTACATTGAGGTATAAATCTGTACTGAAAGCTGTAGTTTTTATCTTCTTCAATAAGTACTTCAAGTCCTTTTTACTTCCACCAAGTAAGGTAGTATTATTTGCCTATCACAGGTTTTTAATGAGTTTTCCTCCAATCTTGATGCCATGTTCTTCTTCACATACTCCAGCTTCTTGGATTAGTTGCTCAGCATGCAGATTAAATAATCATGGTGAAAGGACACAACCCTAATGCATACCTTTGTACCATTCAGTATCCCTTTGTTCTGTTCCAATAACTACCTCTTGGACTATGTATAATTGAGTCCTCTGGAATTCTCATTCTTCTCAATGCTATCCATAGTTTGTATGATTCACAAAGTTGAATGTCTTTGCATAGTCAATAAAGCACAATTAAACAAGCAGCAGCAATGGGCTCAAACATAGCACAATTGTGAGGGTGGCATAGGATCAGGCAATGTTCATTCTTTTGTGCATAGGGTAGCTATGAGTCAAAACCAACTCGAGGCACCTACCAACAAAAACAAAAATCATTCTAGAGTTCTCTGATTTCAGCCAAGATCCATCCAATGTCAATAGTGGTATCTCTAATTCCACATCCTATTCTGATTCCAGCTTGAATTTCTGGAACCTTCCTGTCAATGTACTGCTGCAACCATTTTTAAATTATCCTCAGCAAAAATTTACTTACTTGTGATATTAATGATATTGTTGATGATTTCCACATTCCATTGGGTCACATCAAAATCCAAGTTAACACAGCTAATACCAGTCAGACACAAGGTTTGAATTCAGGCCTGCATGGAAAGTGTGTGTGCCATCACCTTGTAATGTACATTTCTAACTGGTAAGTATACCACTCACCTGTCAGTTTGTCATACTTGTGTTGACATGTGCTATGGAAGACATACTATTGGTCATTTAAATCCCAGCAGGAAACCCCACCATAGACAGGCCTCACTGGAGCTTCTAGACTACAGAGAGACAAGGAAGTAACAGGGAAAGATCTTTTCTGAAAACCTTATGAAAAGCAGCAGAAATTTGTCAATATAGTGTCAGAAGATTCGTTCCACAGGTTAAATATGGATTTCTTCCCACTGGTTGTGCAGGTGGCTGTCTTCCAAATTCTTTGGCATAGATGAGTTAACGCCTCCAGTGCTGCATCAGTTTATTGAAACGTTTCAATCTGTATTTTGTCAACTCCTGGATTCTTGTTTTTTGTCAATGCTTTCAGTGCAGCTTGGACTTCTTCCTTCAATACCATTGGCTCCTGATCATATAGTACCTCTTTAAATGGTTGAATATCGACCAATTGTTTTGGGTACCATGATTCTGTGTATTCCTTCCATCTTATTTTCATGCTTCCTGCATTATTCAATATTTCGCCCATTTGTTGTTAGGTGCCATTGAGTTGGTACTAACTCATAGTGATCCTGTGCACAACAGATCAAAACACTGCTCAGTCTTGGGCAACCTCACAATTGTTGCCACGATTGAGCCCATTCTTGCTGCCTCTTTGCCAGTCATTCTTGCTGGAGGTCTTCCTTTTTTTCTCTGACCCTCCACCTTACCAAACATGATATCCTTCTCCAGTGATTGGTCCCTCCTGACAATATGTCCGAATTATGAGAGTCAAAGTCTGGCCATTTGACCTCCAAGGAGCACTCTAGGCTAGATGGCCAGATGGCACTTCTTCCAACGCAGATCTGTTGCTTCTTTTGGCAGCCCATGGTACCTTCAATATTCTCCTTCAACACCATAACTCAAATGCATCAATTCTTCTACGATCTTCCTTATTCACTGTCCAGCTTTCGCATCCATATGAGGTTATTGAAAATACCATGGCTTTGAGTCAGGCTCACCTTAGTCCTCAAGCTGACATCTTTGCTCTTCAATACTTTAAAAAGGTCTTGTGCAGCAGATTTGCCTATGCAGTTTTGCCCATTAAATCCTTCGGTATTGCCCTGGTTGGCAAGCAGTGCGAGGAGACCCGAGGACGCCTGGGCCCAGAGTCAATGACGTGGCCACGGAGGACTCAAGTGGAGAATGGAGCTGCCAGCTGATGGGAAGAGAGAGCATGTGCACAAGAACACCCACACTTGCAGATGACATCCATGTGACCGGGACTGGATGACTAGATGATCAGAGCTCAACCAGGAGAAGAAAGAAGAGGGGGGTGGGGGAA